CACACACACACACACACACACACACACACACACACTGGTTTAGCTGCTACAGCAACCGCAGAAACAGTTTGCTGTACCAAACTTGGCAATTTTTATATAACACTAACCGTTGCCCGCGATTTCGTCCACGCAATATTAAGATAAAAAAGTAGCGTATTATATGGCCGTCTATGTCAGCTATCCTGCAGGGAAAGTACGGTCGAAATCGGCCCAGGCGTTTCCGAGGTTACCAGACAGACAGACAAAAAAAATGAGATTTTCGTTAACAGCAACGCAAATACATCATTTTTCCGAAATTTGGATTTTTTCTGATGATATCACAAACATACACTTCTATTTTTACTATATGTATAGATAGATAGATAAGTTAGTAAACGAGCAAGCGGCATTAATCCATCAAAAAGGTGTGACAGCTTTCCATAAGCATCCGCAATTGCAAATGTATTACCTATCTTAGTCAACGAAGGTCGTAATTTTAAAATCTTCATATAAATAATAACGTAAAAAAGTACCCGTGTGAATGGGCGCTTAGTATGTTACATAATAAAAATTTGGTACTCACTCTTGGATAATTATATTAAAAATTGTTTTTTTCAGGATTTATACGATTTCGTGTTCAGTCACCCGCAGGCGCCTGAGGAGTTTGAAATAACGACCAACTTCCCGAAGCGCGTGGTGGCGCGCGGCCGCGCCAGTCTGCAGGATGTCGGCCTCAACGATAGAGATGTCCTATTCGTTAATGACACAAACGCATAAATACTTAACTTATACTTAAGTCATTCGACGAATAAACTTACATTTACCCTTAGAAAAAGTGACTTTCAATTATCGCTATCGCTTATGCAACAAAATATGCCAAAACGTAATTAGTTCCCAAGCGGCATAATATTATGGAATAATTTTATTGTTTAAAATTTTCATTTGTTAATACCGTTGCTATGACAACCTTGAAGCAAACATACTGCTATTGGCCTGTTTTTGTCTCTCTCGTATGACATTTTTTCCAAGTCACTCACCTCTTAAGTTCGATACCGTGAATATATAGCCTATAACCTAAAGCGAGTTTAGGGCTTTTTATTATAAAATAACTATTCAAAAATATGTTGTAATTGCTGACATCTTACATAACAAAGGGTGTTCCATACATTTAATTTTTTTTATTAGCGATATTGATAATTGAATTTTACTTTGTCTAAGGGGGGGGGGGGATCCTTAAAATATTTAACTTTCCATCAGAATGGAAATATGAGGTTTTTGTGTTAGAATTAAACGAGAATTTCATACTTATCGAAATCATCAACTGATTTTTTTAATATATCTGTATATTTTGGTGAAAATCAGTTAATGATAAATTCATAATAAATTAAATGACACGTGCATTATTTTAAAAAGTGATTATTAAAATCATTTCCTTGAAAATACATCGATTATAAGAAGCAATATTAATTGTTTATTAATGGCACAGGCGGAAATTAAAAAGCACACAGAAAACAAGATTTAAACACTAAGGCAGTCCCTTAGTGAGATAAATCTCTACTTAGATAGTACTGACACGTTTGATAGCGTGAATGAAGTCGCGTGCATACATATGTGAGAAAACTTTGTTTTTTATATAAATTTAAAATGTGACTATAGCTTTTAAGGAATTTAAAATTATGGTAGGGTTTAAATTTCATTATTCGTTATTTTTGTCTCTGCTCATCCTAATACGGACCTAATAAGTAAAAAAACGTGGTAATTATGTTGTACTTAAATACACGGTTATTTTGTGATTACCATACTAAGATATGAAAAATATTCAAATTAATTCAGAATAAAAACTATAAAAGAAAACTCATTGTTCGATTTCAATAATAAAATACTAATTTCATAATAGTTATGTTAAAAAAAAATCGTAATTACATTCAAGCACTCACTTTACACTGCTTATGTTTTCAGTAATAAAATTTCTCGTAGTATTTTGTTTTAAAAAGCATTGTGTCCACGTTTTTAAATTATTTTTTAAAATCATAATGTCAATGTTGACTAAAAAACAATACAATGATTATTACTAATATTATAAATGTGAAAGTTTAGATGGATGGATGTAGTCTAAACGACTGAACGGATTTTGATATTTGGTATAGATATAGAGGATAGTCTGAAAGAACACATTCACACATTTTTTTAAATTCCACATAGAGGGAGTCGCGGGCGAAAGCTAATTTTGGTAAATAAATAAAAACCGTGTATAAATTGACCAAATAAGGTGGAGGGAACTATTCGTAATGAAGTTGATGCGGTAGTTTCAGCCAATCAGGTGGCCGTATTATCGACGGTGGCGCCCTCATTTTATATAAGTTGTTAATTTATGACACTATTTAATACTGCCTTGGGTAATTTATATAGCGTTTAAAAACGCTAAATACTGTAAATAAGTACAGTACGTATATATGTTCCGATATAAAAGTGAATGTTAGTGAGCTATCGTTTTATTTCGTTATATTTTATTTGTGATATATCTTCTCGCTGTCGAGCTGTGTTTTAAGTGATTTCAATATCTTTGTTATGCAGAACTTAAGTTATAGGTATTGGATAAGTTAGGGTTGCTTAGAGTGAAGATTATTCGAAGTGACAAAAGATTAATAAAGGTAAAGATCAATATTTTATTTTGGTATAAATTCTATGCAAGTTGAGGCTTATTACGAGTAAGTTAAAATTTATTTACTTCATTGGAAGAAGAAGGAATATATTAATATTTGAGAATAATTTATACGAGAATATATTATTTGTCATTCCCGAACTTAGCACTTTTGAAATAATAATAATTATCTAGTTGTGGGGAAAATCATCGAGAAGTATCCATAATAAATATTGTTACAAAATTAATTTTGTAAAGAACTCTAGGATCATTTTGTAGCACTTTAAATAAAATTCACTCTTAGCAAGATGTTACATAAAACGCGACCACAAATTGAGTGTGAACTGCAAATTGCAGTGACATCATTGGACTCAAGTCATGTTATTGTGGTCGTGTTGCCTTTTATGTTTGCTTTCGCATAAGTTGATTAGTTTACGAAGCTTTTTCCTTATAATTATTTTTAATGTACGCGTAGTGACCACCAAAGGTGCTGTTTGGACGTTGACTGTACAAGCATTTACGTCGGATGGGAATGTTTTGAATAAAAGATTTTGTTGTATTATAATTATGTTCCTTTATACCTTCTTTTATTTTATCCCCTAATATACAACGATCGAATGATAATAAAAATACGAAATAAATACAATAATTTTATTACTCAAAAGCACATTATAGAAATTTTAAATAAAAAATGCATACTGTATCAGTATTTAGTAACATTTAACCTATAAAAACATGTATGAAGCTCTCTTCCACTCCTAGATTTTTTAGAATACTGAGAGAAATGAAGGTAAACTCTTTTGGTCCACAGATACAAGCAAAACTCGTGTCATCATCGTAGTCTATGGTATGCTCTCCAAATATTTCTGGCAGAATTTTCGCGCTAATACGTCCTTTACGACCTTTCCACGTGTCACCGGCATTTGAAAGTATGTGGATTACGTTGAATCTAAGATAACAAAGTGAGAGTAATTAAAAAAAAATAATCATTTCATAGTGTGGGTTTCCACTGGCGAAACATCTATAGTAACGTCGTAATTAGTGGAATTACCAGTGAAAAGTCAGGGTAAGTGCAGATTTTATTTTACCTTTTATCTTCATTTGCCAACAGTGTCATTTTGTCATGAAACATGATATCTTTTTCTGTCTTATTAAAGTATAATAGATGAACGTTATCACTGAAAATAAAGATATTTTTATTATAAAAACAAGTAAGGGTGTATTGTTTAAAAAAAATAATGACGCTATATACCATTTGGGGTTAGATCTCGTCAGCATAAATGTAATAAGGCCAAGCATTGGCGTAATTCCTGTCCCAGCTGCTAATAGATATATTGTTTTCGTAGATTTCAACTGCAAAAATAGTTTAAATAAAACAATAGTTTAACAGTGACTCTTCAACACATTTGCACTAAGAGCGCGTCACACTTTTGACTAAACTCACTTCAATTCCTATAAACTTATATGAAGGCGCGTTAACTGTTCAATTATAAGTTGTGCAACTAAACAGTCGGTAAACTGAGCGTCGGTGGCTCAGTGGTTTGAACACTTGACTTGTAATCTACAGGTCTTGGGTTCGAATCCCGCCGTGTACCAATGTGATTTTCGATTTTTCGAATTTTCATATGTACATAATTTACCCGACGTTCTTACGGTGAAGGAAAACATCGTGATGCAACCTGCACATATCGGCGAAGAAATTCAAAAATATGTGTGAAGTCAACCAACCCGCACTTGGCCAGAGTGGTTGACTATGGCCTAGTCACCCATTATTAGGGTAGGCTCCGAGCCCCTCGGTGGGGACGTATAGTGAGGTGGTGATGATGAACTAAACAGTTGAAACTGCTGAGAAACAATCGACAATCGCACAACGGTAGTGCCATAGTTTAGTAAAAGGTGTGCGCGCGCTCTAATGCTTCGATTAGAACTGTGATATCTGTGATGATATACCCTTAAAAACAAGTCAACATTATTTTCTTATAGTCACCAAATGTCAGTTGATTGAAAATGAATATTTCTCACTTACATCATTAAATACTAAAAAAGAGTATACTTACTCTATGTAGTTGAAATGTGCCATACGGTCCTGCAGCTTTGAGTATTTCCCCGGGATTCAGTGAGGTGAGCATCGGAGAAAGGATGCCATTGTCATACCGTTTTACTGCAAGACGTAAATCTCCAGTGTTTGCGGTTTCTTCATCCCAGTACTCGTTTACTGGAGTATAAGATCTTACGTATTCGGAGCCTGGATAAAATTAAAAAAAAAACGATTTGTTAAAAGTATTTTTAATATTAATAAGATTAGTATTATAATTAATCAGAGTAAGATTTTATAGAGGAAATCCCCTTAGTTATAGTATAAACGTACTATATTAGAATTTATATCATTAACCATTACAATACTAAAAATGTGAGAGTTAAGATGGGTGGATGTTTGTTAGAGTATGTAGCCCAACCGGCTGAACGGATTTCGATGAAATTTGGCATAGATGTAGAGGATAGTCTGGAAGAACCCATAGGCTATTCACTTTTTTTCAATTCCATGCAGACGGAGTCACAGGCGACAGCTACTTTATATTAGTTAACCAAATGACTGGGAATGAACACCTATTATTTGTATGTAGAATAACGAAATAATAGAAGGTAGTCGTAAGATTAATCACATAGTTGATCCGTCACTGTCTGCGTGTTCATGTTCTCATTCCCTAAGGAATGTACGCAGCCTTCTGAAGTAAACTATCATCGATCATATAACTCCAATGAGTGTGTATTTGTATTAAATTACTTTCAATATCCAACTCTTATTAAGGATAGGTTATTTACTGACCATGTCCTAATAGTGACTGGAATTTGGTGGTTACTACTTCCGTCCGCTTGGAAATAATGACATTCATTCATTCATTCATCCATCCAATATTAATAAGTTTGTTTAATTACTTACCAGCTATAGTCTGGTGAACTCTTATGTGATGTCCGAGAGGTAAAGCAATACATCCAGTGCGTGGAGCCATCGTCAACATCCAACTATCGTGAGTTAACATATTATTACGAACTACTTTGTAGTCGAGTATTTTATGTGATGTCATTTTAGTCGGCGAGCCTATGATTATTTCGCCGCAACTCTTCCATGTTTTAATCTCTATTTTCTGTGCTTTTATCTAAAGACATGAGAAAGAAATTTAATTTAAACTATTGTAAAAGTAATGCCACAATATTTTAAGCGACATGTACCTCTATTTTTCCGCTATGATAACACACTTTGGTTTGCAACTGCTCTTGTACATTTTCTTCTAATAATACCTTAATGGTCCGCAACCAACCGTTTATCGTAACTTCGATGAGCAAATTACGTTCCGTAACACGCGAATATGCGCCCGGATTGCTCAAAGGACCTGTATACACTGTGATAGTTAATTGATTAATAGTTTGCTCCCAATCGTAGAACAGAGCTGGCGGTACATCTTCTGGAGGCATTTCTTTTTTAAACACTTTTAAACTTCCAAGATATCCGGGTAAAGATAATTCTTCAAGTTCTACACTTGTGTTGAGCGCATCTAGAAAATCATCTTCTGGGATAAGCGGTTGTTTCTTTCTTGGAGGAGTTGTGTAATTTGTTAATTGGTTTCTAATGACGATTCTCTCTCGAGTTACTGACGAAGGTAAGAGAAGGTCGGATTCAGGAAAAGAATCGTTCGCGTCGAAAAATATGTCTTGAGTTTCGACGCGGAGTGTACCGACCAAACATTTGACGAGGAGAGAGTCGTAATTGATCCATGGATGAATTTTGTCAAATAATTCCGTCGCATCTCTGCCAGCTCCGCGCATTAGTTCCTCTGCTCCTGTGAAAAAAAAATAAGAAGTACTTTGTGTACTGTATAAGACGTACTTGGCAAGGTATATCCTATTTCGACTACTCTCCTTGGTAATAATGTAAGACTTAAAATATTATTGTTTTAATTCTTGTAATTTAGTAACTTACCTCCTGGATGAAAAGGAAGGTACTGCGTTATATTATAAACGCGTCCTCGAATTGCCAGCCATGCGTCATCTGAAAAAGGTTTTTTATTTCTTTTTATTTCATCTTTTAATTCTTAATTTAAAAACATAAATAGCGCTTACTTTTAGTATTGTGTTGCTTGAGTTCTGAAGGGTGTATCATCCGCACGCGGCCGCCGACCCCGGTCAGATCAACCCCCGAGTTGCCCAAACGTATCCAATCAATGAGACCGTTCCCTGATTTTAAATAGTTTTTATTATTTTTCGCCTCGTCTGAAAACAAATTCATGTTACGTAAGAAATATGTTCGAAATAAAAAAGGAATATATCGCGTAATTCGTTTCGATTTATTTTAAAGCAATTATTCCTCTTTGCTGTTGTTTTTTTAACGTGGTAAAAAGTTACATTTTTATTGATATCAAAAACGCTACTGCCTCATACAAACTTTGAATCATTATTTCAGTACGTATAATATGCAATTTTATAGGATATAAACTACAATTGGTTATTGATTAGTGAATGTTTGTGTCGTAACTCGACCGCGACGTTAATAAGTAATAAGCAATCAACAACATCCATATTGCAGAAGCAATCAGGCAATCAGGTTCGTTCCCGTTGCGGTTAGCACACCTGTACGTCGCGCTGATTCTACAGGATTTCCATCCCTCAGTACAACTGTATTATGTAATAACTTATGTTTAAAACTCTCATAACATGTTCTCTCATAACATCTTGTTTCTTAGATTTCTTAATTAATCCATTATAGTTATTTCTGCTGTGAAAAGGTGAAAAGACAGTTAAGTACCAAACTGTCTATGAAATGACTAGTAAGATTATAAACGAACGATATGTATAGTTTAACGGTGGGAAAAAGTTACATAGCATGAAAGAACTTAAAACTTTTTAAAATTCTGGAGCAGCTCTGTTGATACAAGGTAAAATTGAAGTCGGTTTTATTCGTTCGTATTTTTACAGTTACCCTTTTCGAACAAATGAAAAAACTCAATTATGCTATTCAAATGCTCGGTTTTATATAAAATTGCGCTCAGTTCTCGAGTTTTTATAGAAGTTTTATACTATTTCACCCGTTACTTGGAAAAATAATGCAAAAGCTAGTTTCGTATTTGGTTATTTCTACGACAATTTTGTATTTTCAGAAATTATTTAATATAACTAAGCGTATAAAACTAAATCAAGTCTACAGAAGTAATTATCATTATGTAATTAATGAAAACTTACTCGATACGGTAGACGAAGTGTCCCCGGAATCAGGACAACGATTGCAAATGAAACAACACAATAATTTTCTGATACTCATATTTATCGATAGGGCTTTTGCCCACTAGTAATTCTCGTATACGAAATTTCTACAATATTTACGAGAAGGAAAAACTAAAATATTAATACGTTTGGACACTTTATTACTGTGAAGTGTACTGAGCAAGCAAATAGAACATACGTTCAATACTCACATTAGTATGCCGCCCGTCGCTCCTTCATCCTGAATATGGGGCTGAGGTTTTGGAACAAAGACAAAACGCGTCACTGCATCGTTATTGAGCTACTTTGGAGCCAGGAGTGGGACACTTGAGTGCACGTAGGCAGGTAGTTCTACGAAGTCCTTAAATAATGAAAAGGAATTATTATAACTATCTTTTATTTTAGATTCCCAAGTTACATTTATTTATATGACAGACACTAATCAATTTTATTTTGAACTTACACTATTATGTAAGTGGCTAGCTGTTGCTCGCGACTTCGCCCGCATGAAATTAAAAAAATTATATACGAGTATTATGTTACTCACAGATAACGTAGCTTTATAATGGTGTAAGAATTTTTAAAATCGGCCCAGTAGTTTTTGAGTTATTGCAATACATACAAAAAAAAACTTTCCTCTTTATAATATTAGTATAGATGAATATATCTCAAAAGTGCATTTTTGTTTGCCAGCTAGTTATGTAAAATGTTATTGGTGTACACGTAAAGTCTAATAATACTCACATAGCTGATTGTAAAAGTAAGAAAGAATATAAGTAACTTTCTGTGTAAAAGTCAATCGAAATCGTAAAAAGTAATAAAAAGCGTAAATGGAAAGCTAACAAAAGTTCAGAGGACAACTAACTCGATTCACGTAGAAACTTATTACGTGAGTCGAGGAGATGAAACATACTAGGCATCAAATCGAATCAAATTTTCTTTTCTATAACAAAGTTTGTTTCTTCATCCCTTTTGATATCCTAAGCACATAAACTGAGTCTATCGTTTTATTGTAATCAAACCTTTTTTACTGTCTTTCTAACGTTACAAGGATAGTCCAAATATGTGTCAAATCAATGTAAGTTACGTCTCATATATCTTTGTTAATTTCTCTTCAAATTTACTTTCCACTTGTGAAATAAAAAAAATCAATCATATAGTAACAGGTCCAAAGTTTCAATCATATCTACGGCCTGTCCGACCACTTGCTGATAGTGGCTCAGATAGCTTAAAAATGTCGTCTCCGTCAGATAAGGTAACAAAATCCGATATTTCCATCACATTTTACATGTTGGATTGTTATCAGACAATTTACAATTTGGGGCAGGCCCTTACTCTTTAATAATTCGTTAGGTAATATTAAAAATCATGTGGAATTCAAAGCCTTGATTAAATTTTACTTTTGATTATTTTCGTAATTTCTTAAACGTAAAGCGTAAAAGTTTGAATGTAAAATGTTATCTTAGTTCGGTGAGCAAGGGCCCCCTCTATCGCGGGTTGCGTGCTATATATAAAAGGATCCAATCCCTCTGACATCTTTGAAGGTACTTATAGAGTTGGAACGTGATGAAAATTAGTTAACGTAGTCACTTTACATTTATCTTAAAGAATGTAAATAATGAAGATGTAGAAAATTCAGAGATAAATTAAATTTGAGCATTTGGTAGCGAAGAGAGTTTTATGTATACTATGTTATAAAGAGGAAAAATTTGATTGACTGGCCTGATTTAAAAAAAAAATCGCAATCAGGAAGCTATATTATAAGTGACTAACATAGACTATATTTTATACTTTTTAGAATACGGTATATTTCTAGCCGCACAGGCGAAGCTGGGACGGATTGTTAGTATTTAATGATTTTTAGATGCAAGCTTCTTCAAATTATGAGTCAAATATTAAAAATATATAACTACAAGGATTGAACGTTCTAATTAAAGAACAGTAGATATAAACAAAGATTCCAATAAATAATTAAAAAATTATAAAAGCAGCTCTAACGATCATATCGTTATGTCGGAACAATGAAAACAATAGGCACAAAGAATTTAAATACAAAAATCTTTCTTAAAATTATAATAACACAATAAATTCAAAAGAAACACAAATTTATAAGCAAAAAATAAACTAACCAAGTACATATACCGACATAACGTAGTAGTTTTTATGAAAACTTCCCTTTTTTCTATGCGACAGTTTATAAGAAAAATATCTGCGGTTAGAGACTATTAAGGGTAAGTGTCGGCTGTGCTAAACGACAACGACACACAAAAGGCAAAAGATAACCATCAGACTTCTCGTCTAAAACGAGATTTTAGACTTCAAAAGTTCATGCAGTCTGTACTAATATTATAAAGAGGAAAGATTTGAATTTTTGTATTTTTTTATGTATTGAAATAACTCAAAAACTACTGGGCCAAATTCAAAAATTCTTTCACCTAATTAATATATTATTTGTTATTTTTTCATTCGGACGACATCGCAACAGCCAGTATTTAATAAAATAACAACTAAAAAGTTTAATACATTTTTAATATTGTACCATTATTAAAAAATTGTATATTTTTTCACATTGTTTATTTTATTTATTGATAAATTAAAAATGTCAGCTTACAGTTTTTGTTAGAAAGAACGTCAACGTACAGTTTTAATTACAAAATCCAGTCGGAAACCTTTGAGCAGTAAATTGGATTTTTTGTAAACCCCGAGCGACGCTTTCAATGAAAATAACAGTTGATGAACGACGTCGTTCTTGCAATTTGGAAATAAGAAATTGTTTTTCTTCTCAATAATGCAATGATTTCATAAATATTGGTACAAGTTGATTTAATTTTATTTATTGTTCTTAGAGGTTATGTCGTAAAATATGGAATAATCAGACTGATTTTTTTAAAGGTATTACAAAAAGTCTAAACACATTGTTAAAAAATGTTATATTTAGATGAATACATTTTATATTACACTAGCTGTTGCTCGCGATTTCGTCAGCGTAAAATTTAAAAAAAATATAAACTATGTTACTCACAGAATACCTTTGTATTGGTAAAATAATGTATAAAATTGGCCCAATAGTTTTTACATGAATCAAATACATAAAAAAATGCAAATCTTTCCTCTTTATAATTATACTAATATTGTAAATGCGAAAGTTTAGATGGATGGATGAATTTTTTGTTAGAGTTTGTGGCCTAAACTGCTTAACGGATAACCGATCTCTATGAAATTTGGCATAGATGTAGAGGATGGTCTGTAAGAACACATGTTTTCATGGTTTTCACATTTTTACCATAACAATTGACAATTGAAAGTATAGTAACGATTAAGTAATGAATCTACATTGACTGACACCGACATCAAAGTAATAATAATTGTACAATATAGACATAACAGTTACAATAAGGTAGGTTTACTATTTTCAAGGAATTATTTCGTTAATATTTAGTGTACTGTTTTTTGAGAATATTTTGTTTTTAGTGTATTTTTTTTTGGAAGTCGGTTTTTGTTTTTTTTTCATTCCACGCGGACGGAGTTGCGGACGAAAGCTAGTATTAGTATGGATGTAAGGTGTCAAAATACTTGAAATATATAAACACTTGTAATGTAATGTAACATGTTAACCACAGAGTTTCTTAATAGCATCATTTTACGTATCATGTGCCTTATTTTATGACCCTCAGGGACAAGGTATAATATTATTAATTATCTACGGCCTTGTAGCGGCCGATAAAATGTGCCCTCCATATTGATTATAGCAGTAAATAATAAATCGAGTTTACTCAGCAATACGGCTATACTGAGCTTATTTCGTTAGCAGACATTTTTAGGAAAGATTAATCTCACTTTGTTCCAGATTATATATTCCACAATATAATCAGCAGTATCTAGAAAAATATTCCTTTTTGGTTTATTAAATATCTTAATTATCTATCTATACTAATATTATAAAAAAGAAAAAAAATCTATTTTTGTATGTATTGAAATAACTCAAAAACTACTGGGCCGATTTCAATAATTCTTTCACCATTAGAAAGCTACATTATCGCTAAGTAACATAGGTGATATTTTTTCATTTCACGAGGACGAAGTCGCAAGCAACAGCTAGTATCATATAAAGCTATAACATGTGAGTTTATAGCTTAACAATAACGGCATCGATTATTTTTATATGGACATATTTCATAACATGATGAAGCACATGAAACAATCTTACTAATAAACTGCTGATCCCTATGCAATTTGGCATGTATAATATAATCTGGATGGACGCAAGGGCTGATCATTTTTTTTTTAATTCCGCGCGGTGTCACAGAGTAAAATAACTACAGTATGATTTGTGTGCTGTTCACAGATTAAAATATTAACAACGTGGTTTTGAAAAATGAACTTTCATTGTTACAGTTTACATTAATTAAAATTAATGTTGAATTTAATTAAATGTGGCGAATATTATTGATCCAGTAGTGTCGGTGAAATTTAATTAGTGAATCCATTATAGCTGGCTGTATCGCTCGCCGCTGATTAATGGGTAACAGTAACTCGTGCTCTGTAAATTTTGTTACGCAATAAATATTGACTACTGATTGAAATTTAAGCTTACTTGTAAAGACCCAGAAGATGTTCCACAGATCCTTTAACAGTATAACGTTGTCCAACTCAGAATAATTAATAAATTGGGATTCACATAGAGTATTGTATATTATAGAGCGGTTATCCTAGTATTTTTGACGTATACACAAAATCATAAATTAATTGGGTCAAAATTAAAGTAAAAAGATAGCAAAAAGACACTAAATTTTGTCACTTGATTTTGAACTTTAAGTTATGTCGTAACTCATAAAAAACATACAGACGAATTGAGTATCTCCTTCTTTTGGAAAGTTGGTTAAAATATGTATTAATGAAATGTAGTGTAAGTACTTTTTCATTATTTTAATAAAATTTCAATTGGACGTAATACTAGACTTGTCAGTTAGAAATTTCTGGTAAAATTTACCTTTATTAAAAAATGAATTTTCGTTTTCCTTCCGTATTTCCTGATAAACTTCCTCCCTTGAGCCGGATGGTAAAAGTTAAAGTTTCGCTTCTCAAGTTCTTTAAGTTAAGGTAACTTTTGCAGTAACTCAAACACTTAGACCAGCTGTTTTATCGTCGTGTAAGTTTAGCC